TTCGAGATTGGCATATGACTTGAATTAACCGAATCACTTTATACTTCACCAAAGAGCTCGGATATAAAGTATATATATACAGCATTTTAGGTTGAGCCGGTGAATTTTCTTTACTCGTTAGCTTGATTATATTTGTAAGGATAATACCTTGCTCTGATGATTCCCGTCATACGACGGGCGAAAGCTTATTACGTTTTCACAGGAATAAAATAAGATTGCGTCAGAAACAGCATCAACAAGAAGGTTTTAGTAAAGATAAGCGACAGCTGGTCTGGACGAATCCACCGTTGCATTCTGGTGGAATCGACCTTCGAATCTCTTCACCAAATACTTTCATTTTAAATGGAAGCGAAGTCAACAACGGACAGATTCACTTGATCTGGATTAGGGCTACAAATCCTGTGAAGTATAATCGAATAGGCCTTTGCACCCATGCGCTCATCGTTTTTGTCCTTCTGGGGCTGCTGAATAAAACATTGTGTTTTTGCCTGTAGGGCAACGACCTCTTTTGGAGGCATTGCAGATTTTAGTTTAATGCAAAATCAATCCTTCTCCTCAATTCCTCGTGGATTCAATCGCGATCGGTTCGATAAAGACCATACAAAATGAAACTTTATGTTAAAAATAAGTATCCTGACAAATGCTACCAATTGAGCACAGAACCATAGACATATCTCGAATCCTATAAGTATTAATGGGATACCTACAGGGCCGAAATTGCAACTAGCTTTGACCAAGGAATCCTTTTTTGATACCTTGTAAAAGATAGTGATATTCACTTTATAGGGAGTGGCTCAAATTTAAATCCTGATGCTTCATTCCAATTGAATGGTTTATACTTCCAAAAGATGTTTATGATACAAGGATGGGATCCAAGGGAGGCCGAGTAAAATCCTAATCATTGCTGTTTCGACCTATTTTTATGTTAATTATTTTAAAAATTCTTCTCCTCTTAAGTAGATAATATATGAAAAGTATTGAACTTAAGTTAAACACCAACATGAATAGAACATGCCTAAAGTGTCTTCTTAGTTTCCTTGTGACTATATTAGCCAGCCAAGAACTGCCAAAAACCAAGGGTTGAATAACTGTAGAAAATGAGCATTGAAGCTCATAATTGACATTTTGAACCGCCACTTTCAGCAGGTTTTTATGCGCGAAAGTGAGATAGGCATAATTTTAATTCTAAAAAGCGCATTAAGTGATAGTGGTCTAAACGGGATACAAATAAGAAATTTCGACGTTGCTAGGACCAGCCATACTTTAAGAAAAACTTGAGTCTCCCTAAGATGATTTAAGGACTAATGGCTAAATTATACTACAAGAAAACTA